CAATGAATTAACCTCTTAATTGGAAATTGAAAAATTAAAAGGTTGTTTAAGTTTTAAAAAATTGTTGTCTACATTCTGTCCTTAGACATACGGCTTTTCAAACTTTACCGTCTGTCTTCCAATCACCACATAACGCCAAAGTACCAAGTGCCTTCACCTATGAACTGGTAGATGCTCCTAGAACATGACTCCATTATGGTTCATAGCATCTTTTTTGAATGATGTATGAGGTAGACAAGTTATCAGAAGCTCCTCTAAGGCATGAGAAACTTCAGCATTCATTGGATTAGGCTGACTTCTAAAGATCATTTTCCATCAGGGTACAATAATATTAATGGTTTTACAGCCCTGTGATACTAACTTTCAAATACCTCACTTTTTTCTTTCTCTGGAAAGGTCTATACTTGGGAACATTTTCCTGCTCTTCAGGAATCTGACTAGCAAATAGTCATTACCCTTGTTTGTGGGAACACAAGTGGTGTAATAGTATCAGCTCCCAGCCTGTTTCCTTGAAATTGGCCACTAAGAAGAGACCCCCTAGTAGTGACAAGGTCTATTATACAAATGCCACCTCCCTGGTGAGCTGCCTTTTCATATTGTTCTTGCATAGTAAAGCCACTGGATTGTTACTCATTTTGAAAAATATAATCTTTCAGAGTCCACCTCTGCTCTGTGCAATCTGGTTGCATTATAAAAGCATTATTCTTATCAGGCCATTAATAAAAACTAAAAATCACTTGTAAGACCCTACAACAATTAAGCACTGTCAATAGTGTACTTCCTTGTGGTCTTTTACTATGTGATTTTACACAGCTAAGGCTGTACAGTATACTTAATTTTGCATTATGGCTCACCCATATAACATTATTTGATAGACATTTTTCCATTTTTAAAAAACTTCACACTAATGTAATTTCAATAGTAACATGATACAGTATGTTATTTTATGACTGTGGCACATTTTACTTAACCACCTGTCTACTGTTGAATAGTTACATGCTTTCATTTTAGTTTTTGCACTTTAAAATAATATAGCATTAGAGATCTTTGTGTATAAGGCTTTGTCGCATTTCAGAATATCTCTGTGGACAAATTTCTAAATATACAATTGCTGAATCAAATGTTGTAAACATTTTTGAGGATCCTCATTCATTATGTGCAATCCCAGTGCATACTCAAATGTTAAAACAGTCATATTTAACACATAGTGTAAGATATCTGAATGGATAAGATATAGACATAATCAAGTCACACCAAAGCAAAAAAGTATTGATAGTGTTTTATTATGCAGGAAAATATTATTTAACACTGTACATAAGATGCTCTCGTTTATACCCCAAGACAACTCATAGGAAGGTATGTGTGGTTTCCATTTCTTCCATTGCTCATTGATTCAACACCCCAAAGCACAACTTGAATTTACATTCATGTTCTTTCTTTAAAGCTGTCAAGGGGCAAAAATAATTTGTTCAGAGACACTGGCTTGTTGCCCAAATGCAGCACAAAGATGTCAGAAGATACACTTAGCTAAAATCAGAAATGTATGGGTTTCACAAAGGCATGCATTTACAGTATGTTAAAAAAAATGATTAAAAATGTCCAGAGTGTTGACAGTCACTTTTCTACCAGGGCCTTTTACATTCACCTCTGCTCAGGGGACTTGGGTGTATCATAACAATACTCCTGTTATCAGATCATTCATAATAACTCCATTTGGTCTCAAATGGCTCTTGAATAACCCTTTCCTCAGCAGGCATGGGCCTGGCCAGGCTAACGTGATTTTGTAGAAAGGAAATGTGTTTGGGGTTAAGCTGCAAATGCTGGAGCGTAGCACTAACAGGACATCCTACGTCTGAGGTGTGTGTGTTTGCTGTGAGGTGAGCAACCTTGGGGGTCACTTCACTGTCCTCTTTTGAGACACCTGATGAACTACATGGATTGCCTTTTAGCCGAACCAACCAAGGACATTAATTTGAAGTGTCTGAAAGCTATTCGTTTGTTAAAAGATGCCTTGAGTCACAAAACCCCAGTGATGACATTTCTGCCCTGAGCTGATGGATTGGGTTGTTTACTCCCTATGCATTCACTGTGGGTCAACAATAAAGTGCTTCTTGACCTTCAAGTGCTTGTTTCTTAAAAATCACACACCTACTCCCCCCCCACACACTTTCTTCCTCTTGAATTTAAACTGAACAATAACAGACATATATTGTACTTGACAGTTCATTAGAGTTTTGATATGTACACTTACTCGATCCTCATGGTTCTGTCCGAAATTGATGTTTTTACAATTTAATAAATGAGGAAAATACAATTTAATGCCACAACTGATATAGTTGTTTATTTGTTTTTATTTTACCTGCTTCATTTTTAAATTATTCAAGATTTCTAGAATCACATAAATCAAATACATTAGTCTTTTTTAAAAATTAAGAAGGTAGAGTAAATCCAGAGTCATAAAGTAGAACAAAAGTTTGTATGTGGATATGCATGCTATAGAAAGCTGTCCAGTTCCTTGCATTGAGAGGTAAATAGGATCTGGGCTCCCTGGAAGCCTAAATAAAAATCACTTGTAAAAGTCAGTCTCCTGTGGGTATTCACTTTAGAAAGTGCCCAGACCTAGGCCAGGCTCAGGCCGATGCCCCAACTGAGACCAGTTAAGCAGCATCCCTGAGTGAGGTCAGCATGAGACACCAAATGACCCTTATATGTAACCAAGACTGAAAAGCAGTGGCAGTGAATATAAATTCCCTCACGGAGCGGCACTTCTGTGTGGATGTTTACAAAAATCCAAGAGCCAGGTGTATGCATTGGTTTGTTTTCACTGTCTTTGTGAAAGTACAGCACAGTGCGAAGGCCGGATGTGTGTCTGGATCTTCCAGCTTAGCTTCTGACATTTTCCCTGGGATGGGAGCAAGTAGGGGTGAAGAGGTCTAGAAGCTGAAACTTAGATGAATTGGGCATTTCTCCCATGTCTGGAGTGTTGAGTAGAGTGATAAGCTAGCTGATAGTTGCAGAGTGGAAGATGATCTCAGGAAAACAGCCTCAGTGAACTGGGAGCCAGTGGCAGGCTGACTCAGAACCAACCACCCCCAGTGGTCCTTGGTGCCGTCTGAAGAGCTGGAGAGATCAGAAACAAGTTAATTTTCTCTTCCTCCCACCTGTTTATGATTAATGATTATGAGACGCAGGTGGGGATGCAACCCTTCCCGATGGATTGGATATTAATAAAACATGCAGAGAAAATAGCATTTAAAGAAAGCCTTACAGACCGGCCCTTTCACTTACCTAATGCCAGGAAAGATTTGTCTCACTGAGGGTACCAAGGGAATGAAAACGGCCTAAGGAGAAGTCATCAAAGGGAAGGACTTTGGAAGATCATAACAAGTTACTGTGTTTCTTTTAATTGCACCAAGAATTCCTATGAAATAATGTGTCAATAGTGAATGTTTCCACAAGTAATAATATTGAAAGTAGTCACTGTTTTGCAAGTTTTCAAGGACTCATGTAGGCAAGCTTAAATTGGATCTCTCTGCTTCATAAGAGTATGCAAGGAAATCAGAGCACTAAATTTTCCAGTAGTTAGACAAGAAGGAAATTTCTTTTACACAAGGCTCCCTGAGGATCAGCATCACCTGAGGCATTTACAAAATGTTAAGGTCCCTGGGGGTCCACCCGGAAGTGCTGGCTCTCTGTCTTATTTTTCCCTTTCATTAAAATAATTGTTCCGGGTTTTCCTTATTCTTAGGCAAAGCTGAGAGACTGGACTTGAAGAGGAAACTCAGATAATGAATTGGTTAAGAGGAAGCAAGAGTCATGAGAAAAATTTCTGTAGGTTTGAACTTTGAAGCATCTTGGCTTAAATTTTACCAATAACTCTGAGCAAATTACTTAAATATCCTTTGACTCTAAATGCCATAAAATGGGAGTAGTCTTAACGTCAGAGTGTTAAGATCAGAAAGGACAATGAATGAACGTACATTTCCCTGTGACTAGTTAATAGGGTGCCAAGGACACAGTAACTGCTTCATATATGTTAGTGATAACCAAGTAGCTACACTGGGAATCATGGCTCTGAATAAAAACTCTGAATCCTATTGCCATAGTAGAACAGTGGTTTGTAACTGAGGGAAATTTTCCCGGGAGGGCACTTTTGATTGTCATGATTAGGGTAGTGTTATAAAGGCCAGAGACCTCCTATAATGCATGGAACAGCCTTCACCGCAAGGAATTGTACAGCCCCAATGTCATAGTGCTGCTGTTGAGAAATCTTGTCCCAAGTTCTCTGTGACATAAGTAAAAAGCCTTTGAGTGACATTTAGTGATGAGCATGCTCACCATGGAAGGAGGCCCAAGTGAAACCCAGAGGTATTTCTGGTGGAACTGGAAGGTCTCTGGACCACAAGGTTAGAGGCTTGGATTTGCCTCCTGAGAGGGCCCTCCTCAAGGCTGACTTGCAGTATACCAAGCTTTCTAAAAGATAGTATTGAACTGTACCTCCTGGCTTGTGAGGTGAAGTGGCCCTATCCCTGACCAATGTCACCCTTGGTAAATCTTTCATCTCTTAGTGTCCAAGGCATTATGTTAGACCAATTCATAGTAAATTCCTGGGAAACATGTTAAAATGCAAATCTCTGGCTTCATTCCCTGGAATTTCCGCTTCAGAGGATTGTGGAATCCCCTAAAATATACAAATCATCTCTGACAAATCTCAAGCCCAGTTCCAGCCAGGTTAGATCTCCTTAGCTCTGTTCTTCAGCGCAGCCATGAGACCTGGGAAGCATACACACTACTGGTAGCCTGTCAGTGTCGCTAGCAGCTGTATCTTATCTCACATAAATTAACACCTCTGGCAGGTGTGAGGTGATTGGATTAATTTTGTGTTTTCTATTTTCACTACTCCTGTTAACACCACTGCTACTGCCAAGAATAGTAATGACAACAACAACAACACAGAAGATCGAGCTTGGTACCATGTTCAGGATTAAAATTAAACCGTCTCAAGCACCATCCCGTGTATGTCTTTACTTCTCAGAGGGACTCTGTGGCAGGGAGAGCTCAGGATGCACCGGGTCAGCTCTAGTCCCAAGTATCTGCTTCCTGGGATGCTGGTCTGCGTGTGGGTCATTGAATGGCCTTCACCAGTGACTGTGGCCACAGCATTTCCTCCATCAGCACTCAGTGCACTCACATGAGGCTTCTGCTATAAAATAGACTTCACTAGAAGTTCAGGATGCTTGAAGGAATTGTAACAGATCACATTAATTTGTGTGTGCCCATATGAATTCTCTGTAGTTCTACCAGGTCAGACTGTAAATCTTTGCCAGCTTGCTGGATTCTGGCTTCCAGGCTTCGTCTTATTCTAGCTGGTGAAAGAAATGAATGAAATGAATGAGTGAATAAATGAATGAGTGAAGTGCGCATGTGTTCATACGTGTCTATATATTTATATATAAATATCCATGGACTATATATGTGTATACATAACCTATATGCAAACATAGACGCATACATATGTGTAAAATATAAATGCTGTTATGCAGAAATATGGAGCATTTCCTTTGTCCCTTTGTTCTACTCTCTCCTTATTGATTTCACCCTGGAAGTTGTCTTTTCATTCCCTCATGACCCGTTAAACTGTTTATATGAGCAAGGTTAATCTCCTTACTGAGAATTCATTACCAGCTATTGGAAACACAGAGACCTCAGTAACCTCATGCTTGTGTAATCCCCCACACCTCCTGAGTGCTCTAGCACACCTTGATTCCTTGGATTCCCACCAGAACTCTTTGATGTAATTGTTATTTCCCTCATTTTTCAGATGAACACCTGCTGAGCCTCAGCAAGATCCAGTTAATGGCTTGAGGTCCAATAGGGAGAATAGTCTACAACAACAAAGCAGGGACCAAACCCCTGATTCCTCGATTCTAAAAACAGAACTTTACCTTTTTAAATACCGTAGTTGTTCTCTTCCTTGAGTAAACATCAGAATCATCTGGGAGCTTTAAAAGTACATGTGCCAGGCTCCATCCTAGAGCACCGCAAGCAAGATCTTAGGGGCAATGCCCAGGCCACTGCATATTTAGGAAACTTCCCTGATGATGCCAAGCTACATCTTGTCCAAATATGGTGATCCCCAAAATGCTAACCTGCCAATTGGAGGAACTGAGCAGAATCACACATGGATAAAAAGCTGTACTCTTGGCTTTTCTGATGGTAGTTTTATGTGCCAGTGCTATAACCTCACCTAACCTTCTAAAGGTTACTTCCACACCCAAACTTTTGGATCATTTGACTATTTCAGAGTGACATTTACCTATTCAACAAGTTTATCCTCAATCCTAATTTTGCTTACCATTTTCTTCCTCGTCATAGGCACAAAGAAGCGTTCTCATGGCTCCCCAGCTCCCAGCACTAGCTCCACAAGTCGCCTTACCTTGCCAGGTAGGTAAATATCTTCGTGCCATTACCTTAGTGACCACAAACAATAGAAAAGACAGCTGAGTGTAGCAGTTGATAAGCTGCGAATCTAGCCCTTTATCAATCAAGTTTTCAGAGGTATCTCCATCACCCATTGTAACCTTCCATAGTGTGTTCATAATCTCTTCCATTCATTGGTGAAAAGAACAGAATCTTTCTCCTTCTTGATGTTCACCTGGGCAAGATAGTGAGGCTTTGGTGAAAAAGAGCGAGAGAGACTTGGGTTCAAATTCCAGCTCTGCCATATGGAAATCATGCAACCATTTGTCTCTTCTTCATTTTCTTGGAACATTGGTTTTCTTACCCATTTGATCCACCTGATATAGATTAGGAAAAATGCTTATGAATTTAACATCATTCTAACACAATGTCGGAGCTAATGACATAGCTGATTGGCTCTGTTGAGAAATATAGAACTCCACATGATCTAGGCCCACCTGTCATGTATCAGGGAGTGTTTCAATGTTCACAGTGATCATCTGTAGTTACTAGTTGATAGAAGGGGTAGCTATTGGTCTTTCTGTGTGTCCCTGCCTAAGGTTGCATTCTCCATTATGACTTCATTGTAGTAGAACTTAGAAAACAAATCGTTGTGGGGAAAGGAGAAGTTATAAAAGGTAAACATGGTCATTATAAAAGTGTTTTTAAACTGTTAAAAATTATAGAAGGGAAGTGTTGCCAATAATGCTATACCTTACAGTTAACCTAGATTATTTAACCTTTCTGTCTTTATTAAATATTTTTCCAAAATTCAAATCCTAATTTATGTAGAATTTTTCCCTTCCTTTTGAAAATTTGCCCTTACATTAGAAGATGTTTTCCCATCTTGGTAAATTAACAAATATTTAAACAATTGACCAATATTTCTTAGATACACCACAGTTTATTTACTTAGATGTTTATGTATAATTTGGTATTTGTATAGCTTGCATTTTTATTGTCACAATTAATGTTATATGCTTGTATGTAAATCTCCTGAGTCCCTAAGTATGGATCAGGTCAAATTTCGGTAGGCAGGACTACTGCTTTAAGAATATGCACACATTTAGGTTCTTGACATATTATTGTGAAAACAATCTTCTGCAAGGTAATTAAGTTACACTTCCTGGATGAATTTTCCCATTTTATTATCCCTTTACTCATGCTGAATGATGTTTTTATATTTTGCCACTTTGATGAGAAAAATGTCATCCATATTTGGTTTACTTTTATCATGTTTAAGAAATTGTTTTCTAATATTAATTCACCTTTTAGATTTCTTCTTTTGGAAAGTACCACATTTTATCCATTCTAAAAGGCACAATACCTTGCATTTTATCTCTTCTGAAATTGGAGGGTTTTGCAGTCCATACTATGTGATAATTTAGTTAGCAAAGCTATTTTCTATTTTCTTGCTTGTACATGAAATAACAGTACACTTTACAATTATCAGCATTTTAAAGAGATAAAAGATAATGTATGTCTACTTACCTTTTCAACTTCAACTTCTGCAGCTGCTTTTTTGTTTGTTTTTTGAGACAGGGTCTTACTATGTAGTTCATGGTGGCCTTGAATTCATTGTGTAGTCCAGGCTGGCCTCAAACTCACAGAGACCCTCCTGCTTCAGCCTCCTCAGTGCTGGGATTACAGAGATGCCCCACCATGCCCGGCTTTTGCAGTTTCTTTTCCTTTTTTCTTTCTAGTACTAGGAATCTAACTCAGGACCTTGCGCCTGCCAGGCAGGCACTTGTGCTGCTGAGCTATATCCCCAACCCCTTCTCTAGTTTCTTTACCCCAGACCTATAACTGGATTCAGTCAACATCTGCTCTTTGCTCTGAGTTTTCCTGCCTCTTTGACTAATTTCCCTTGGCTTCCCTCGGTTAATTTCTCTTTGCACTCCTTTCCAAATCATCTAGGTGGAATTAATATTGCATTGCAGTGATTTGCTAAATGTACCTTCACCTGCTAATAGGTAGCTTTTCCTACAGTGGAGACTGTGTCATTCCTTTCGGACCCCTGTGCTGCCAAGGAGACAGACATATATCAGACACTCTAATGTTTATAAGGCTGGCCTCCTGAATGTGTAGGTTTATGACTACATAGAAAGGAAGCACTTTTAGAGAAAGACTTATTTTAAAGTTTGCATTTGCCTCAACTATACTACTTTGTTTTAATATTGCACAGACCTTGGTCCCCACATTGTCTGGAAGTCACTGACATCGTGTCCTACTGTGCTGATTGTGCTCTTAGGAATTTAGAACATGAGAAGATAAACTAATTTATACCAGAAACTCTAATGTGCAGCAATGATGTCTTCTCCTTGGAAAGTCATCTCCTTCCTAGGTCAGGTGAGACCTCTGAGGTCATCCTGGTCATTTGCAAGAATATGCAGAGCTGATATGTTTCCCACGTGTTCTGTCCTGCTCCCGGGGCTTCTGAATCAGTCATGGCAACTTTGTTTCAAGCCTTAGTTTGGTGGTCTAAACTGGACCAAACTGGCATCTTAGGCTCCAAGTTCTGACCATTCCCCACATGCCTGTAGGATTAGAATGGTCATTCTCCAAACACAGGTGATAGTAACTGCACTTTGTGTAGTAATTACCTTCTACCTCACTTGTGACAGTGGCCAGCTCTCTACTCTCTTTTCTCAGAAGCCACACACATTGCCTCCCTTTCACTCAGATGCCTCAATGGCCCCTCACCAGGCCTGGCTAGCACCTGCTCACAAGCCCACCTTGAGAAGCTTTCACTGGTATCACAGCTATACAAGAGACAATTCCTAAGTGCCACGAGTAAATGCCAGCTTTTAAAACCCTTTGATTATAGTCAGTTGAATGGACCTAATTGGGGATTTAGATATTGTTTTCTTCAGTGCCGTTTACATAGCAGATCCACTGTAATCAAACCAGTTGGCTGCAGGCTAATCAATCCAGTCAGTAAGATACAATATCCAGGAAATCCACTCTTTGATACATACTCCTGTCCTGCAAACCCATACAAGGATGGACAAAACAGATAAATAAACTTTGAAAATATCGTTAGTGCCCAGTATTGAGACAAACAGCTCTGGGAAACAGAAACAAAATATGACTAACTCCACAGCACTGAAGTCAGGGGATGTCAGGGCTCTGCCTCCTGAGTGGGAATGTCGGAAGGAGCAAAAGAGATTTAGAGTGCTCAGGGCCATAGTCTGAGGAGAGGGCGTGGGATAGGCTGCTGACAAATCTCCTGCAGCTACAGCCTAGTATGGAGGATGCTGTTGGCCTAGGGAGCTGGAAGGACATTGATCTGACTTTGGAATTAGATATTCAGTATCCTCAATATGATTGTGGGGCATTATTCAGAAGTGTCATTATAAGTCCCAGCTTTGATATGGAAGCTTAAAGTGCCAGGTAGAAACAACTACAAAATTCTAGACAGACTGGGGGTGTGTGGATGGTGAGGCAGAAGGGAAACACGATACCACAATTTCATATGCAACCAAGAAAAAGATAGATAAATTGGACATCACCAAAATTAAAAGCTTTTGTGTATCAAAAGACACTACCAACGAAGGGAGAAAACAACCCACAGAATGGGAGAAAATGTTTGCAAATAATATATCTGATTAAGAGTTAATATTAAAACCAACAACAAACCCGACTCAAATACAGTATATTTAATTTTACTCTTACTGAGGGTTTTCTACTTTCTGTTTTATAATGTTTAACATATATTGAGCAAGTAAAGCAACTTGTAACAAGGTATATGATATATAAGATAATTTATATTATCTATAATAAAACATGCAGAGCTGGTAGGTATTTTGTGGGTACAAATATATATATATGGCCAGAGATATAGCTCAGCAGCACAGTGCCTGCCTGGCAAGCACAAGGTCCTGAGTTTGATTTCCAGTAATAAAAAGAACATATATATAATATATATATGAATATTAAGTATAAAGTTCTTGGGGGATGTAAAAGATGGATCGTGATGGCAGAAAACAAGGTAATTCAGTCCTACATATGTTATTTAATCCTTCAAGAATATTTCTGAGCAAATATAAAAAACATTCAGGTCTGATTAAACCATAACAAGAATGTAATTCTTTGTTATGTCATTATTTATTCTTTCCTGCATGCATATTTTAAAAAATTGAAGTGGAAACCCTATATCTGTTTTGCCAGTTTTGTTTGATTTCACTCATATTGATGACAGTGCAGTCCATCTCTCACTTTTGCGTGAGATGAATGTTGGGCATGAAGCAAGTTCTGCAAGTTGAGCTTGTCTAAATCCAGAAGCCACCAAAGATCATTCCATTTAAAGACTGCTTGTGTGGGTTCTGAAATTATCTCAGGGGTCATCTTGGAACTCCAGTGCTGGAAACTGCCCTGAGGCATCACCTTGGCTCCTTGCAAGACTATATAGCAAAGTGACTTGTATTGGAAAGTAATAGCACCTGCAGCCATTTTTTTCTAGAGCCAACTTCACCTGTTGCCCTATGGGCTGTGTGAACCCTCTTGAGCTCCACGGTGGCCATCCGTGGAGAGAGCTGGGGCAGTGTTAGCTCTTGCCGGAGAAGTTGCACAGAGCTTCACCATCACTAACAGTCACGACCACTAGTGATCCAGACTAGTCAATTACTCACCTCTGAGCAGATTCCAGGGCATCTCACTTGGCTGAAATATTCGAAGATAACAAGGTACAGTACTACAGTGCTTTGCTGATGGAAATACAGCCAGTTGCTCCTCCCTGTGTGCAGCTGCTGGTGCACAGTAGTCTTGGCAGTAGTTGTAGCTCTGCTTCAAACTCCACTGCCTGCTGTAGAAAGATTTTGCATGTGAGATACCCGCTGGCTTACAATGACATTGTTATGTGTCCTGTTTTAGGGGACTACGGATAAAACATCCACCCGGAAGCTTCCTTGGAAGGGACCTGATCATCTCTGAGGTCTGAAGACATTTTAGAATGCTTATGTTTCTTTTACCAAAACAAAAATTACATGTACTGTAAGTTATGGGTACTTAACTTGAAAAACGGTGACTTCTGATCTCTCTAATGGTGGCTTTTAACAAGCATGTGTCTTGCATACCTCCGAACATCAGGAACAATGCTAGGTTCTTAATACATATTAAATCCTCACTATTCTCTAAGGAAGACACTATTATTTTACAGATCAGAAACTGAGGCACAAACAAATAGCTTGCCTATAGTTAGAAGGTGGCAGGTGGCAAGTGTGTGCTCTTTTCTGTGCATGATTGCCGGTGAGTAAAGACTGGTGCTAAATAGTCCACACTGGTAATTACCTTTTCCACACTTGTATTCTACCTGAGCATCAGATCAGTTCCCCCATTTACTTATTCCAAGCAGAGTTGGGGTATGAAGAAGCCTTACGGTGTATTTCAAGTAGGGATTTGAATGACTGTTCTATGCATCTGTCTTTCACCTTGAGTTCAGTATGAAGGGTGGCAGTTGTCACTACTATGGACTGAATCTAAGCCTGTTTTTTTATCCCTTGATTTAGCACTTTAGAACTTAATCCAGAAGAAATTTATATTTACAGGCTTCTTCAGAAGTTGCTATTTCTTAGTGGGAACAAAAGACACATGTTGACGAGAAAAATCAAGCAAGAGATTTAGTTTGCATAATCTC